AATAATTGTATTATTTTTTTTAATTACAATTTACTTTTTTTAATAATAACATATCTACACAAATTGAGTAGCTGAATATGTCAGTATCGCATAAAAGATGAAATATTTTAAAATCATAACATGTTATATATAATTAAAATAAATGTATACATTTATTATTATATAAAACAAACTGTATAAAGATTAAATAATAAGACAAGGGGGGAAAACCTATTTTAAATAATCCTTGGCTTACAATCATTCATTTAGTGACTATTCAGAGTTACAATAGCACTGTAAAAAGTGGCTTACGACCAGTTTTTCACGTGATCAAAATTCAGGACTTGGCAACCAACATATATATTACAATTGCACTTCCCCAGGGTCATGTGATAACTTTTTGTAACCTGAGCTGGCTTTTGAGAAGCAAAATCAATGGAGGAAGCCAGATTCACTTAATGACTGCATGATTCACTTAACATTTGTAGCGATTTGCTTAATAACTCTGGCAAAATGGTATCAAAATGTTGGGCTCAATTGTGGGTATAAGTCAAGGACTATCTGTATGAAGACACTCGGGAAAAACATACCACACTCAGAAAACAACTCTGTTATCACAAATTACCATGACATAGCAATGTCTTCATGTGTTAGCTTTGCCAGTTGCTTTGGACCATAATTATTCTGTCAAGATACCTATCTGGGTTGTTGAGAGGTCTTCCCTGATTTTTTTCTTTTTCTTCGTGCTTTGCTTAATTTTGATGCCATTTTATTACTTTTATTTGTTTTAAAACTTAGGCTATTGACATTGTCCCCATTCATGTGCCTTTTGGATCAGGCATTGCTGCCTCCAAGGCCCCATTCTGCAGGTTCAGCCTTATAAAAGCAAATTTTCTTCATCGGGTAATTGTGGATGTTGTTTATCCCTTAGGAAAGGTCGCACAGTGGACTCTTGTAAAACTTGCCAAGTGGTAGCAAAACAGATTGTGTGCAATCCCCTCTCTAACCTATAAGCTACTCTGGGGAGAGGGAGGGGGACTCTTAGAGCAGCCAATTCTGAGACCATAAGAACCCTTTGTCTTTATCCAAAATTTGCACTGTGCATCAAAAGTTACCACGTACCTCATATGTCCTACTTCAAAAATATTTTATATCTCCTGTCAATAATTTTCTCTTTGCTGTCCAGAGTCATGATGGCAAGATGGGTGGCTGTATAAATTCATATAATAAATCAATCCAGAGGCATCTGCAATTTTACCTTCAGCATCAAGAAAATAATTCAATGTACGTGTAAAACCTTCTAAAGGGCTCATTCCTTTCAATCAGAACAAAAAAAAAGAAGAAGAAGAAGAAGAGGAGCTAAGTCTTTTCACATGGCCATACAATTGCAGAATTTTCACCCTGCTGCTTTGATCCTACTGGTGCAGGAGTGTCAAACTCAAGGCCCACTGGCCGGATCTGGCCTGCAGGGTGCTTAAATCAGCCTGGAAATACCAAAGGACTATCCCGAGGTGCCTCTGTTGGCCAAAATGGGCCGCATGTGTACTCCCCCATGGCCCATTTTTTGCTTCCCTAGCCACCTGCAGCACTCTGCTGGCCAAAAACGGCCTGTTTTCAGCCGGCAGAGTCTGCAGGAGGTCATGGAGAATGAAAACAAGGAGCGGAGAGGCTGCATGCAGCCCTTCCTCACCTTGTATTAGCTGGCAGAGTGCTGCAGAAGGCATCCGTCCTGGCTCCCCCTCCCTGCTCCCCGCCCTCCACCACCAGCCTGTGGAGGAGAACTACAATGCTGATTTGGCCCTCAAAGAAATCCAGTTTCCACACCGTACTCATGTATCAATGCCAGATTTGCCAGTTCAGAAAGTCCATTCCCCCTCAGATCCAAAATGCATTTTATAAGGGAAAAACACACGATAGATCTCAGCTCAGTTCTCATTCTGAATGTCACCTTCTCTATATCACAGGGGTGTCAAACTGGTGGTCTGCGGGCCAGATGCGTCACATGCAGACCACGCCTACCCCAACTCCGCAAAGGCAAAAAACATCACAATACATCGCAGGATGTCATGTGATGTGGTCGAGTTTTGACACTCGTGCTATATCAGATATAGGAGGGACCCCATTATCTTGAGGTTTCAGGAGTTCAAGCCAATCATGTTGCCCTCTGCTGTCTTGTGCTCTTGTATTGCTTTTCCTAGGATGGGCATTGGATTTTGACCATTATCCTCCTGCTTTCCATATTCCTGATCAAACCGATAGATTTCCTAAAGCATTATAATGCTGACCACCACTGCTTCCTCAGGCCCTCATTCACATATTCCTCTTGCCTTTTGTTCAAGCATGGTGGCTATTGCAGTCATTGTTCATGAGAGGAGAATCCTCCCATTTTTTGCACTCTCTACACATCTTTCACTTTCCTCTTTAGAACAACCATCGCACACCAGCTCTAATTTTCCATGGCTTGTTATCGAAAGATTCCCTTCTTCTCTTCACAAAGTTAGGGTTTCTATTGTGGTTCTTTCTCAAACCCATACCTTTTCAATTATCCTCAATGTACAAGGTTCTGTCTGGTTCCCCATTATGCCAAATTCAGTCAGATGTATCCAAAAGTAAAACTTTGTTGTCTCTTCCATCCATTTAGCTATTATAAACACACTCGGGTCAGAAACTAAATAACGCTTTTCTTCATAAAGGGTTTTTATTCCACAAAAGTCTCCTTCTCTGCTAAAGTAGGCACTTTAGCACTTTAGCAGACTATTCAAGAAGACAGTGTTTCAGCCCTCTTCAATACTTTGAAAGCTACTATTTTTCCTTCTAATCACCAGTGCATGGTATTTTCATTATTTTATGATTTTATAAAATGTTTTTGAAGTGGGGCTATATCTCCAATACCTGTGTGAAACCTTTGTCTTTCTCATCCTACACCTGTAGGCTTCCAGGTGCAGTAAAGCTCTTCATAGCTTCATATGCAGGTAGTCCTTGACTTACAACAGTTCATTTAGTGACCATTCGAAAGTTACAACAGCACTGAAAAAAGTGACATGACTGGTTTTCACACTTATGACCATTGCAGCATCCCCCATGGTCACGTGATCAAAATTCAGGTGCTTAGCAACTCATATTTATGATGGTTGCAGTGTCCCAGGGTCACGTGATCCCCTTTTACGAACTTTTGATGAGCAAAATCAATGGGGAATCCAGATTCAGTTACCAACGGGATTACTAACTTAACTGCAGTGATTCACTCAACAACTGTGGCAAGAAAGGTCGTAAAATGGATCAAAATTCATTTTAACTAATGTTTTACTTACAACATAAATTTGGGGCTCAATTATGGTTGTAAGTCGAGGACCACCTGTATTGCAACAACCTTACTTATTGTTACTGCCCACCCTACAAGCTCAGGTATGGTTGGCATGCTGGGTCCCATATGTAAAATGTGACCTTATGGGTCACATTTTTTTTCTATCAATACCTGTCTTCTAATACAATATAAAGCCTGAGGCATGAATGTTTCTGGCCCAACTGTCATTTTGGAAGACCATCAAAACCCGTATCTTCGTGCAGGCCTTTTGCTGGGGTATTTTGGGGGTGGAGTATTATGCAGAGGAAAGATTTGTATGTATCTTTTGATACTGTTCATCAATTTAGTTCCTTTTATTGTTTTGCTGATATTTTTAAGCCACTTTGCATGCCATGAAGCACTTTACGATTGTCAGAAGAAATGTGTTTATTTCTTATTTAGGCACCACATTAATAAATGAGAAATAAATAAATATCTTCTGATGCATACAGTCATAATATAAGTTATTTTAGCTCAGCAGGCAGGGGAACAAAGTTTTTACTTAACATTGAAATCTGTTTGTTTGTTTTTAATTCTTAACAGACATCCTTCACTCAGATATCACTACCATTTCTCTGAAGGCCTGTCTGCATTCCATTTCTAGCTCTAAAATGGTACTTATTTGCTGATCAGCAGTGAATCGTGGATTAAATAGGAGATAATGAAATTCTTACATATTATCGAGTGTTGGGTGTCAACACAAGCTAATGTTTTCTACATCTTTGCTGGAACATATATTTTTGAAAATATTTAATTCCCTGAATATAGCAAATGCATTTTTTATGTTTCATCCATGTTTAATTCTCTTCCCAATAAAGAGAGCAAGATCAGCACAAGTTTTACTTAAAAGGAAAGAATTGTTTTAAATTAACTATGAAGGTTACTTCCAGAAATCCCCAAAGCAAATTGTCTGAGAAACTGAAGTATACGGTGTTAGTGTTTGACAGCCATATTATTTATGTATCCAGCCCAAAGCTGAATTTCTATCAGATGATATGAAAGAAGAGATTTTGAGGTCATATGACAGCTGGGTGCAGAATATAAGCAGTTCACTTTGTGTATGTTTCTATAAGTGCATGTATTCAAGGAGAGTTCATTTTATAACCACCAGAACTTTTGAAGCAAACCTTTCACGTATATCTTTAATAACAGTGTACCCAGCTTCACATGGCAATAGCCTAGTTACAAGAAAGATTTTTCTAATAGTTTCTTCCATGTAATGTAGAACATTCTGCTACGTTTCCCTATGAGCTTTGCACAGCTTTTTTTACAGAAATACTGAAGAATATCTAAAATGTATAACTGACTATGGATTCTCTTGAAAATCAAGCAATACTCTGACAATTGTGTCAAATTCAAATATTAAACCTTTAAAGATTTTAAATATCTTGTGACACTTACAATGTGTGACACAACACATTTCCCCCTCCCCATTTTCAGGCCTTATAGGGGTTGGAGGGGATGACATGTTTTAAGAGTGATGCTGTTTTATTTAAGCCTTATTTTTTTTCCTATTAAAACATAATAAGTACTAATGAGCTGAATGTCCTGGCATGCACTGGCATTCATAGTCACCATGTGAATGTTTGACAGCCCTTCAGTTATAGGAATTGCTAATAGACAGTGGAGAGCGTATTTGTTCATATTAGACTAAACTAGTTCTTGTTCTGTGTCGCAGGGATCCTGTATCGCAAGTCCTGTGCCTCCTCTGCAGCTTGTCTCATGACCTCTGCTGGATACCAGACTTTCTGTACTCCAGGGAAGATAAACTCTGTTTGTATAAGCTGTTGCAACACTCCACTTTGTAATGGGCCCAGGCCAAAGAAGCGAGGAAACGCTGGCATCATGCCTAGGGCAGGAGTATTAACAACCATGCTGCTGTCTAGCTTGCCGTTTCTATCACCCGCACTTTGCTAAACTCTAAGGGAAGATTTCCTTTGTTGCCATCATTCTTCCTGTGTTGCTTCTCTCAAAGGCACAGCTGGTTTCCATTGTGATATTGTTGTTTGTTTTCCCAAAAGAAGAGTTTTATCTGAAAGAAGTCTCAACAACTTCATTACTTGCAGAATAGATTTAGTTGCCTGATTTTTCCAGTATGCACTTTAAAACAAAACGAAACAAAGGGGGAAAAAATCAACAGTCGTCCATACAAAAGCACTATCATTCATGTTATTGGAAAGTCTATTGTACTTGAACTTGGAGGGTACAAGTTGTTGCCTGTAAAATCTTTCTTTTGTTTTCCTTTATTGCTTCTTGTTTTAGCCTATTGTGTATCCTGTAATGTTTCTTTATGGGTATTTACTACTCATGTTCGCAAACACCATTCTGGTTAACAGGACTTGGATCTAGGCTAGTCTCCAGAGGCATTGTTCTCACGTTGAGCTCCAGTGACTCGGGACTCTGTTTTGGTGAATTGGAGTCAATTTCAGCCTCATCCTGAAGAATATTTGAGGAAACCTTCTGTGCTGCTTTGGTGGAAGATTTTCGCCTAGATGACATGAAGATCAGTGGGCGTTTGGAACGGCTGACATTGGCTACAGAGTTTAAACTAGTTGCCAAGTACTTCTGTTTGTTGGCATGTTCTATGGACAGGCGACATCGGAGGATTTGAAGAAAGACTTTCCGGAAGTGTTGGGAGGAAACGTTGTACAGGAGTGGATTCACTACAGAGCTAAGATAAAAGAAGATGTCTGCTATGGGGAGGAGAATGATATATGCCCTGAAATAAGAGATTGTCCAGTCTTGCTTGGGCCTAGCAGCCATCATGATCCTTCGAACTTGATTCGGTAGCCAGCATATTGCCAGTGTTGCAACAATCAAACCTGCAAGGAAGGAGAAGAGAGAAAAAGAACTTGTGAAAAACCAAATCATAAAATATTTAGTATCAGTGCTCAACTTAGCGGCTAGGAAATGATACCAGTTTTTCAATGTTTTGCTTGACAGCATCTTCTGCCAGTAGCAAAACATGTTCTGAGAGAGACAGGAGGGGAAAAGGCAAGCCACGGGCTTCAAGGTCATTGGAATCTGTATCCAATAAGTATTCTGTAACATGTAAGGAAGCATTTCTTTTGATCCTTGACATCAGTTAAGTTCAAGTACTTTATTTCATATGTAGTGCATTCTTGAAATATTTTGTTATTGATGCTCTGTTGCCTATTCCTCCTCCTTTTCATGACTAAATAATACAGCCATATTAGAACAGGCAATATCCAAAAGCAAAGCAAATTCCACTTATATTTTAAAAAAATGTGCATACAATTTGGCATTATTTTTGGTAACTTTTCTCCTACAGAAAATATTTTTATGTACAGTGTGAGAGGCTCTTTTTATGACAGAGTATATAAGGAATTCAGGAAAGGAGCTGCAGTTGAATTTAAAAAAAAATGGCACAGAGAACAAGCATTAAATGTTCCTGGAAATGGAGCTTCTAGAGAACACAAAGTTTGTTTCAAGTTTTGCTGTCCAGGTATTTTGCATTCACCTATAAATGTGAGTATTTATTTCATTCAGGTTATGTTAATTTTATTGAAGAAACATATTAAAATATTTCTCCTTGACTTTCTTATTGCTGGCAAGATAAGAATGTCAGGCTCCCAGGGCTGACAAAAATACTTACCAATGCATAGTTTTAAAATATTCAACATGCTTCTCATATATTGTCTGTTAAAACAATCTAATGTGATAAATTGATATTTTTATCCATCCTGAACAATGGTTTGCTTAGACTTAAATTTTCTTAATCAACTTTTTAGTAAACCATCTTTCCAGAATGGTAGTTGAGTATAACCTCTGATTTCCAACCCAATTTCAATTACTGAAATATTATAAGAAAAATCACTATAAAATGAAGGATGCATTTGCAGACTCCCCCTTGATGGATGTGGATGGATTTGAGGGAAAGAAATAAAATGTTCAGAGTTTTTAGCCTATTTACCCTCGCTGGGGTAAATTCCTTGTTTTAGAGCAAAGGTGCCTTATCTGTGAAAGAAAATTTATCCAAATGTTGGCTATTCCACTGCAATTTTTTCTTTGATTTGTGGATTTTTACACCATACTTGCTAAAAAAAATACTTGCTTTAAAGCTAGTCCTACAACTCAATTTGCTTTGTTAGAAAATGTGCAGGCTTTATGTTGCTTTTGTCTAAATGAATCTGGATTCTTTACCTAGTCATACTAAATTGTAGAATATATACTCAATAAAATAATTGGGAAGATCCAGAATTCAAAATCAAAGACAAATTGTTTTGAAAAATAAAAGAGAACAACTATGAATGTAAGCAAAAGAAAATAGGAATTGGCAGCAGCACCTTGGAAGAGTCAGGACTGAACATAAACTCTGTGTAATAAATAGATTTGTGAATCTTTTGATTTTAATGTTTACTTTTGGTTAATAAAGAGATTAATTTTTTGTAATTGTTTGAAGTTTTCATTATGTTGAAAGCTTGGATTTCAGCGTTTTGTACAAAATAACATTACCTTTATGCCTAACAGAAAATTGCAAAAACAAAGGTTTTAATAAACACAGAAAATTGCCAATTTTCTTTGGCATATTCTTTAACACTCCTTGTGGATGGTGAAACTATATTGTCAGATACACTAATTAGTTCAATTTTTATCTCTGTTTGATATAATCTACTTAGCAAAGTATAGAGGGTGGACAGAGAGATAATTTGTCAAACACAGATGAAGCACCAGAGCTTTTAAGATGATTTTAAACTAAGTTTGCAGTTTGTAATATGTATAACCACAGTTAAGGCTTTTGCTGCGCCTTAAAGGACTGATTTAGGATGCAGAGGTAAGTAAATTTACAAAACCAAGTGTTGAGCAGATGGGAAATAAAAGCACATAAGTAAGTGCAATATGTTGTAAATTTGTGCTGAATGAGTAACTGATACATGGTTAGGGTTGCCATGGTATCTGAAATTGGCAGGTTTATTCTATTTATCAAATTATTGGTCACCAATCTTAGCACCCAGTAACTCTTGGGCAGCAATACATTTGATAAATAAATAAATAAAATAGGTTAAACAAGACATGTCACAAGTTTGTAAGATGTCGAATGGTTACTAGACAAAACAAGACTGGAAGACACACACAAATTTGGTATTTCTGCCTGTGATGCAAAGTTTGAGTGTGTGTGCATATATGCATACATATGCTAGAGTTCCCTAGGGTAAAATTCAAGAGAGCCTGTTTGCCCCAAGACCCTAAACTAAAGATTTACAAGGCACCGATCTGATGCTTATTTTAAAAAATGCTTTTAAGAAGTGAAAAACAAAGTATCCATTATCAGCATCATCACTTATTTCAAGAACATTCCTGGGCCCCAAAACTTTGCTAGAAAGTAAAAAATACAGGCTGCCACGACCCACTGTTAATATTGGAAGTATGCAGGCTAGTAAAAAGCATTCTGATAAAGAGACTTTAGAGAGTGACAAGAAGCATTTTGATTCAATGGTGCTTTGTGTTTTGTTATATCCCCCATGATGGCAATTTTGTTAGAATACTTGTCAACAATTCCCCAAGTACCTAACCGCTCTTAATGTCTGGGACCCCTGACAATTCATATTTCTTGAGGTTTATTATGTATGAAATTATCAACTGGAAATAGTAAACATTAAACAAATCACTCTTCTCATTATGTCTTGTTCTTTTTTTATCTTCCCAGGGACTCACTGTCATTCTGTTTTGTTTTTTACTTTCTACTATTGTAGTCTTAATTTTTCAGGATCATGACCTACCTATCACTTGATGTGCCTTGTATTAAGACACAGTAAGGTCATGCCTTCATTCCTATTTCACTCTCGCTCTCATTATCATTAAGAAGAACAAAAGATCAATGAGCCCTGACACAGAAGCCACTGAAGATACATGGACTTAATATAGTTGTGTGTGCGCATGTGTAAATTATATACTAACTAAATGACATTTTAAACAGTGAACCTTAAAAGTGGTTTCCTTTCAGGCCTATTATCAGAAATGTCCTGATCTGAGAAATCGGCGACCCACGCCAAATTCTTGCTACCGGTTCGCCCGAGTAGGTGAGAACCGGCTGAATAGTACCTCTGTTTCCAGCTAACTATAATTAGTTCCAACTCCAAAAAACCAGCATTCAATATCTTCTAGGGAGTTTGGCAGAGTAAGCTAGCCAACTCCAAGATTCAATATGTGACTAAATCGGAAAAATCCTTATGGGTCAGAACATGAAATATACAATCTGCAACATACTTCTGAGTTGCTTTCTGAGGTCAGAACCTTTTTTCTGCAAGATTGGAACTTTGTCTCTAATGCTGAAGGTTTAAAAAAGTGAAGGAATTAAGGCTACAGGTTTAGTGGCTCTTCGCAAACAACAAAAATTTGCAAACATTTGCAATCAACACTTACATAACACTTCATACAATGAGTATAATGTACAAAATGCACAATGTATAATTAATATGGGGAAAAATAACTGCCTGTTTTTTAAAAATGCAGCATGTTCAAATTTTGCTTTTTCCATTCATACTCTTGCTGCTGACTTTTATTTAGATTATATGATGTCCAAGTAATTCCTTCCCTAGGCACTTCACAAGGAACCAACTGCTTTATTCTATACAGACCAAGTGAAAAATGAGTTGATGGTAACCTTGTACTGTATTGTAGAGGTTAGTGTTTCAAGGAACAAGCAGAGAACTCTTTGTGTATACTGTCATTTTTGTGAGCACAAGTAATTGCTCATCTCTTGCTACCCCAGGAAAAAAACATTTCTTTTTTTGCAGAGATGTGAATAAACGTTTGGAGATGTGAGCCCTTTAAGATTAATCCATAAACCTGTTATTTTCATTGAGGCTACAATAGCATAAATGTAACATTTATTTTACTCTTCTTAATGTGTTGGTACAATCAACACAAATGGGATGGAGAGAAGATACTAATTGGCTCTGTAGAATAACAGCTATTTGTATATTGT